TGTGTGTGTGTGTGTGTGTGTGTGTGTGTGTGTGTGCTGTTTTTTATGTGACGGGAGTTTTTCCTGATGGTCCTCTACTCTTTTCTGGGTCCACTCCGACCACCGAGACCCGAGAACTGGACTGATGAAAATGGACAGCGTTTGCTGAGGCCAGCACTGAGATGTCAAGACCAAGATCCAGGACAATGAAGGCCTCCCGTCCTGACCAGCAGAGGATGATCTTCGCCAACAAGCAGCTTGAAGATGGCCGCACCGTCCGACTACAACATCCAGCAGGTGTCAACCTTTCACCTGGTCCTGCGTCTGAGGGGTGGCATGCAGATCTTTGTCAAGGACCCTCACTGGCAGGACCCTGGAGGCGGAGCCTAGTGACACCATTGAGAAGTGACGGCCAGCCCCCTCATGGAGAAGAGATGAGTAAACACACACACACACAAAAATATCATATGTTCTGTGAATGAAACTTTTCCTTTCTTTTGTCAAGCAAGACCATAGCTGCTCTGAAATTATGAACTTTAACAAAGTATAATGTTTGACCAAAACTATCTGGCATTATTTTTGAAAATATTTTTATGAGTGTAGAGGTTTTTCCTATAACCCTTTTGTTTCTGTGTTTTGTTTTCTATGAGGAGATGACTCTGCCCTCCGGTGCGTCTGGACGCTCCCCAACCTGGCTCGCGCACCATATGTGCCAGCGGTGGGGTGACCGGGGAACCTGGTTCGGTGCGGGGGTGCATACAGCTGACTGACAGGTGGCCGCTACATGCCGGGTTTCAAAGGGGGGTGTGCAGACGGGCCGGGGGACAGACGGTCCAGAATGGCACCCTCCCATTACCAAGATGAGTAAAACACTGGCATACTCATACACTCTAAAAWCAAAACATAAGGGAAGAGGGGGAAATTTGGTCTACAGTTTGAACCACATAAAGTTTTTTTAATTTTATTATCAATTTGGGAAAAAAAACCTTAGGGTCACTGCGACAATGGGGTTTTTTTGGTCATTTTTATGAGTGTAATACAACTAATACCTTTATGTTTAAGCTAGTTATTCATGAGATCCTTTAATGACCTAGGTTTTCATGACATTCTGTTCATCTACAGATAAAATGATTAACGTCACAAGACCTGCTAACAACGATAATCATTCTTAGATATCARTTGTGTTTATCTTTGTGTTTCCCACTGACCTTGCATTAAATCTTGCTGAGATGACAGAATGGTGTTTGATAATACATATATGAGGCCTCTCGAGACATTTATATCACCAAATTTAAGAAAAGGTTTTGTGGAAAGCTTTAATTTTGATTTTTGGGTTTATTTACTTTATTTTGACAAAAGGCAATATCTGTTTACTGCAGTTCAATGAAAAATGGGGCTAGCTCTGTCTGTTTGTTTGTCTGTTTTTTGTTTTTTTCCTTTGTGTCTAACTTCTGGTTTTATACGTGCACCTGATAATTTCATTTCTTTGTGAATTATGTTTCAGTTGTTAGACGTTGTTTGACCAATGGTTGTTTTTGGGATAATTAATGCGTTCCCAATGTGTGTCATCTACATAGTTTGGTTTTTATAACCCTCCTTAGTTTTTTTTAATGAACATCTGATTACTTATTGTTTGGGTTTGGTTAAATTTTGCGTAATATTTGTCAGTGATTGTGGCCATCAGGGACGTTGCTGTGATGTTTTCTTTTTTTTGGTTAGCTGGTCCCCTGCATTTTTTTGAAAATGCCCAGTCACTTATCATTAAAAAAAGAAGGCCTCAGAGGAAAATGAGATAAAACCATGGTTAAACGTGTTGATAACGGAGTACTGTTTGCATATTCTTTAATCTAAAACACTAAATACGATGACTGTGAGTCTGCGGAGACACCACCACGTATTTGCAGTTTCACGTGGCGGATTTTTTTAGTTTACACATGTGGGGTATTTCAGATCAGACCTTATTTGCCCACATGTTGTTGCCAAACAGTCTAAAGCACTCTAGTGAGGTTGGGGGGGTCTACCCTCCTTGCTGCGTCACGCTGCATGCATTTCGTACATCGGCTTATCTCAATACATTCCATATTGCCACATCTTCTATGCTGTTTCAGGTTGCCTCAGCCATTTCAAGGTTTTTATCTCACGCCGAGACGTATCTGAGTGGCTGGTGGGGATCTGTTTCAGCACCACGACCCGGGTTCGCTCACGCTCGCTGGTTCTCACCTGGAGGCACAGAAGGGTGTGGGGCAGCCGGCTCCTGGGTATCTGGTGGGTTGGGGGGTGCATGTGCGTACGTGTGTGGGGTGATGATGTCATCAGTTCTTCCAAACAGGGTTTTAAG